GGCTTCAGCCAGGACACGCAGGGGCGTGGTTCCCATACATGATGTTGTACCGAGTGAATTGACTGAAAGGGAACTGGAGCATTTCTGTGGGAGAAAACAGAGGTTACTTTGAATTTTATGGCAACAACACAAAAAAGGCTGTGAAAGGAACTGGACAGGAGAAGATGGTCTAAAACAGAAAAGTATCTTGAACTTCCCCACTTTCATATTTATTTGATGTAAAAATGAAATGCAGAGAGTGGACTAACAGAGCAAACAGTCGCTGTGCTCATTTCATTTTGCCCAGTTTACATGTAAAACTTTGAATTTTACGAAGAAATCTTGTGACTTAAAAAAAGAAAACCAAAAACATTTCTACCATCAGACRTCCTCTCTTCTCTCACCTCTCTTTATCAGCATCGACAGACCTGTCCTGGTCCTGCCTGGTCTGGCTCAGGTCTGTGATACCCTGTGTTAGTCTGTCAGTCAACCGGCGGTCTCCGTCTTTGGTGGGCAGTTTGAGATCCTCCTCTGCTGCTTCAGTCTCACCTCCCTCCTCTGCTGCACTCTGGGCTGAAGGATGAATAAAGACCAGAGGAAGAGAACAGCTGATCCTGTGGTTTGAATGGAAAGGAATCTGGTGGAACTCTTTTCAGACCTGCCCTGTTCTCTGAGGTGGTCTCTGGTGGGATGGATCATGCTAGATCATTTGTGCAATCTGTGCTGTCTTTCTCTAAAGGAGTTTTTCTTTAGGGGGAATGCTCCTCTTTTGTAGCTCCTCTGACTCTTCTGCTCCGTTGCTTATGAATCTTTACATTTTGGCTCTGGGGTTTACTGTTTTCTGATGATACTCAGGTTTATCTGCCCACTAAGCCAGACTCCAACCACTCCTGGGCTGTCTGAACGACATAAAGATCTGGTTGAAATGGAATTTCCAGAATTTTAATGAAAGTAAGACTGAAGTCATCAGCCTTGGTAAAGGTATTTCTTTTAATAATCTTGTTCCCTTGGCTTCATACAGCTGCTCCGCTGTCAGGAATCTGGGTTTTATTTTCGATAGCGCCTTTAAATTGAACAAACAGTTGGAARGAACTTGATTTCACAACTGTGTTTATCTAAGACTTACTGCTGAGGTGAAGTCATATTTCCTGACCAAAGGCCTTGAAAAAGTGATTCATGCTCTTGTTTCCTCTCGGTCAGGCTACTGTTACACTTTGTGTTGGAAGTGCAGCTGCTTCATGGCTGTTCTTTTCTTTTCCCAGGATGAATCTACAGTGACAGATGATGCTAAGTTAGTGTCTGAGTGTATCGATTCTAACGGGTTGGGATCAATATTGAGTTTAATTTACCTTCCGCTCACTGCTTCGCTTCGAAAATAAAAAGCTGCCTTCGTCAGAATTCACTGAGTCACTGAGACCGTCGAGACTTAAATCTTTGCTTAAGACCCATCTTTACTCACTGGCAGTTTGAGATTCTATTAGAGCTGATGTTTTTACGTTGTATACTTATTTTTGAACACTTCTGTACTTCTTTATTGTTCTTCATTTGGCTGAAGCCCTTTAGTCCAGGGGTTCTTAACCTTTTTGACCTCGGGGCCCAATTTGTTGAACATAAAGTGACATGAGGCCCAGTCAGACCTTACCAATGTACGGATCAAAATGATAATTATTCTAAATCTTGGTTTAATTTTTATTGTATTTACATCATAACTAAACTATCATAACTAAAAAAAATAAAATACACTTACAGTTTAAAAGTAAAGCTCCTGTCAATTAATCACAAGACATAATTATGACAAACATTTTTATATTGCAACCTGCCCATAACAATTATTTGAACAAATACAAAGGTCAGTCAAAAGACCACTCAGGCTTATCAGCACAAAAATATATATTTTTTAACATAAACAATAACAAAACTAGACATTTCAAAAAATAAAATTGTGGACATAAAATAATTAAATTAAAAATGTTTAATGTAAATGTTTCAAGTTAAAAAAAACTGTAAAAATAAATTTGATAAAGTACAAATGAAAATATAGCCTTTTTAAACTTTTGCATGGTAGAAACAGAAGCTGCTCTTCATATTAGTGACAAACTTTGGTGTTTTTTGATGAGTTACTTTCATTTTTGCTTCTACTTTTAATTTAAAATAGGTTTCCATTCTCAGCAGGTTTCTAAAGTTCTTCTTCTAAGTATTAAAAATGTTGTTAAACATCTGAGTGGCGCAGTGCCGCTACTAGTGGTTAGAAAGTGTATTGCACCTTATTCAAAATCAATACGGTCCCACAGCCCTCTGCGGCCCAAAGTTAAAAACTGTTGTTCTTTTGAGGCCCTCAAGGTGGCGCTCGTGGGCCACGGCTCATAGGTTAAGAATCTCTGCTTTAGTCAACTTCTGCTGTTTATATGTGCAAAAATAAACTGATGTCGACATTGTAAGAGTATCAGACCAAACAAAACAAACAAACAAACAAACAAACAAACAAACAAACAAACAAACAAACAAACACCACCCACTGAACTCACCCTTCACATCCGATGAAACACTCTGGTTGTTTTCAGGACTATGGGTGTTCGGTTGCTGGCCTTCTTTCTGCTGATCTTCAGGGGTTTGGAAACCTTCCATCCACTCTAAAGTCTCGCCGTTCTTCAGTGCCGAGCGGTGGTCCTTGAACCAGCGGACGATATCGGTGCGTCCCAGRTTTGTTTGGGCCTCCAGCTGGCTGTACTCCTCTGGAGATGGCCATTGGGTTCGACAAAACATCTGTTGGAAAGACGTTAGAGAACAAACGTGCAGTATTAACAAATAACAGGTGGGCTTAAAGACAAAAAACAAAAGGAGCAACTAGTTCTGGTTCTAAAACTCAGAGGAACRTTGGAGTTTTCAGGTAAAATCTAACATACAGAAGAGGAAGAATATTTAAATAATTATTCAAGCTTATTATCTGCTGCCTTTTTAGACTGAGATTATCCCTTGTTGAGAAATGATGGAATTGTAGCTGTTTTGGTCAAACCTTGTAGTTATGCACTATCTCATGCATGACAGTTAGATGTCATGCTCAGAGGTTCAACAGGCTCTCACCTACAACCACACCAAATGTTAGCACAGTCAGTAAAAAGGTTAGTTTAAAGTCATGTGGCTGTGAGAGCTACTTTAAATTGGCTCCAAACATCAGTTAGTGGTAGATGTGCATCAAATCAGAGCTCCTACAATTTAAGGCAAGTTAAATCTAAAACTTTTTAAGGCTTTTTAAATGCCACTTAAACTGAAATTTAAGACCAACTTCACAATAAACACAAATTGGGAAAAAAATAAATAAATAAAAAAAACGCGACAATATTACCCAAATGTTTCTTTTAACACTAAACTAGCTGCAAGAAGCATTCGGTAAATTATTTTCAAAAATAAAAGTTTCCAGTTATTTTAATATATGAGACGAATTACAATCATCCTACTTATAATGTGTTAACTTTTTAAGACCCCTAAAAGATTGATTTAAGACATTTTAAGGCTGATTAAAGCCTTATTTTTGGATGGATGAATTCAATGCCTTTTAAGACTTTTTAAGGATCTGTGAGAATCCTGAAAATGTTTCYTTTGTGACMGTTTCACTAAAAYCCATTCAGTGGTTCATAAGATATTTTGTCAACAAAGCAGACTCTAAATAGGAAATCAGACAAAAAATAGACTAAATCACTTGATGCTTGGAAAGTGTTGAACAGTTTCAGTTGCACCAAAATCTTAGGTCAATATTTGTCAAASTGAGTCATGGTCATTTTGTGTTAACTAAGCTGAAACAGGTGTGTGAATCGTCTTCAATTGGATTGACTTCAAAAAGTTATTCAGTGGTATATGTGCATCCAATTATTACTTTGAGAGTCTCAATAAAATTGCTTTAGTTGTTCATTAGATATTTTACTAACAGACACACTAGCCTGTGTGCGCACACACACACCAACAAAAACACAC